CATTGGATTATTTGGAAAATCAATGTTTATCAACACATGCGCGCGCGACGACGACCCCCTTTAAGTTTGATGGTTGTTGAAAAAAAGTCAGCGGTCTACAAATCTAGGTCCTGTAGAAAATCGTGCTGTGTGTAAAGTTCGGCGGGAGTAGATTAGACCAAAAATTAAAAAACCCTCTGTTTTCATTTGATGGGAAAAGGTTCCTTATCGTATTAATGGTTTCCAACTGAAGTCAGTTTCTTCAATTGTTTTTTTCTTTTGTCCACTCAGGTTCATAATGTGGATATGTCAAAAATGGCGAGTGATTTCCAGGCACTGGCGCTTGAGACAGGCAGCAGTACACGGTCAATGGATGAGGTAAGTTGTTTAATCAATTGTATGGGAAAAATAGTTCTGAAGTGTCAATTTCTCTATTTCCCTAGATTAATAGACTCTTCTTTCATAGAAATGGGTAGGTCAGCTTTCACAAATAAATCATTTGATGTACCAGCCTTGACCTCAATTTTTTTTGAAAAAAGATTGGTGTGTAATCTGACCTCTTAAATGTACAGTGGGCATTCAGTTCTAAGATTGATTTTCAAACCGATTTAAAAATGGATAATTGAGTCTTACTGGAATGTTGCAAACATCTACTTATTTTACCTGTTGAGAAAAAGACCAGGCGTATTCCGTAATAGTTCAATAATAATTAATTTTTATCCCACTTTTTTTGCTTTATGGGTAACCAGGGAAACGAAATTTATAGGTTAGGCTAAGCAAGCAATGCCCAAATTGCTCTAATTTTTATGTAAGAATAGAGCAAATATGGTATTATGCTTCTGGGAATTGTGATTATCCAAACTGTCTGTCGCATTGATGTAAGCTTTTTCTCAGAAATTAAAAAAAAAAGAAAAAAAATCCAAGAAATGAAAAGCATGATTTTAAATACCAAAAACAAGACAAAACATCACATACATGCATGCATTGATTTTAAAAATCAATTCAACCAGAAATGCCTTTTTGTGGGGTCTAACCTAATCCCTGACTTGCCATCTATTTATTAGAGTATAACGGTAAGCAATATACTTAATCCGCTTGTAAGCAGTGTAATGGATCCATATGTGATAATTCTGGCGCTTTAAATTATTAAAAATTTTTGTAAAAACTTGGTTGTCATGTCACTTTAACAATTAATTTTTCTTTAATGGTCACTAAAATAACTTTGTAAATCTGGTTTGCGAACGTGATGCAAACCATTGCAGGTCATCGGCATCTTAACCTCTGATGTTTATTCAGTGTTTATATGTTCTCATGACTGTGCATAACTATTTATTTACTTCCAACCTACTGTAGAATTCTTTATTTTCGCTATATTTACTGAAGGAATGATTCAGTGAAAATAAAATCTGGCAAATATATCATTTTCCTATATTTTACATTCAGCCTTATCAAAAATGAGTGAAAATAAATTCCATACAAAACGCCAAAAAAGTCTTTTCAGCGAAAATTAATTCCAGCTAAGTATTTTACAGTATGTGAATGTACACACGGAAAACTCACAAACATATAGCCTGTTGAATGCACATGTAACATCCCTAGAAATTGATGCAACTTAATTTTTACAAATCTTTTTGGAACTAATCTTTTGTTTACTTTATTGTTCAGTGTTAGTGAACATTGTTTGTGATGTTAAAATTTGTAATTTCTGGTTAAGATACAAGGAAGCCAAAATGGCTGACGGTTTACACGGATTAAAATTGTGTTAAAATGGATCTGTGAATAATCCCTCATTGGGAAATTTTATTACTCGCTGCAATAGTAAAATAGAATTGTTTGCAACATTAATTATCATTCAGGCAAATTTCCTAAATTTCTGTCTGGAATTCTGTAATTCAAAAATAGAGATTCATCTTTTGAAAATGAATGTTCAAAATTCTTCTTGGGTTTACAATGAATCCTTTTAAATCTAGCTGTTGTGAAAAGGTTTAAATTTTTTGGTCAAATTGTTTTTTTGTTGTTGGTTTATAGGTCCCTTCAATGCCTTAAATTGGATATCCATGACTGTGAACATTGTAAGTGATTTTATGCCACAATTATGATAATAAACTGTCCATGAAAGTTGAGAAAATAACAGGAAATGTACCACTGACAATGGTGCCTTGAGGTTTCCTGCAAATGAAGGAAACCTTACAGGTGTGAAATGAGCACAATATTGCAGTCAACTTCTCCATCAAATTGTTATCTTTAACCCTGCTCTTGTTGTTCCTATGTTCTTGTACATTGACTTGACCACATTAGGTTTAAAACTGAACATGTAAACCGAGCAATTTTATGTTTTGAGATTTTCTCTGTAATTATACATGTACTAGAAGAGAAAGGGGTGTTATATTTTAAAGCTTTCTAGTGATTCAGATGCTACCCAGGCATCAGCAATTTGCTGGTATTTTTCCAAAATGTCCTATTTTCATGCAATTATTTTAAATGACAAAGGGCCATGTGTTTTCTGTTAAATTTACTGTTTTACACCAAAAACTATAAATGTCACATGATGGCAGTTGATATTTCGGACAAATTGTCCCAAGCTAATTTTCAGGTAACTGAATTCCTGTCTCCTATTTGTGATGAGAATTAGTATTGTATCCTTTCGATGACCTCCCCTAGTCATGCTGTGATGTAATCTGCATGTTTATGTGGACACAGACAACATATTGTGAACAGCATTGGTAGTCTAAAAAAAAAGAAATCATTTACTGCAATTATTTACATGACCTTGTGAACACACTAAGAGGATGGATACTTCTGCAAACCGACCGAGCGAGCGAGCGAGCGATATGGCGGGGTGATTATAGTATAATCTCTTCAACCCCAGTCAAATGGAAAAATCAACTGTTGTGGATGATTCCATTGTCTGAGGGGGTGGGTGGCAGTCTTATGGAGTTTTTATCTGTATGCTGTAGATTGTTCCATTGTCGGGGTGGGGGGGGGTTCTAGTAGGACAACTTGATGCAACATCTGCAATGTAAACATTTTATTTTAGCTAATTAAGATAAACCATAATTATGATAATTAAAGATAGCACTAATTAATAGTAATCTAATTAAGATTCTGTTAATTCATGCGTTAATTTAAAATTTGCTGAAATAGCATGTAACTATTTCAATGTGTTTTATATTACTGTAAAATCTGTATTAGAAGCTGTGGCTTCTATTAAAATGGTACAATGCAACAGAGGGGATGCGGCTTCTATTAGAGCATCTACACATATGAGAAATGGTGAATTTTTGGTTCTCAATTCTTCAAAAAGAATGGTGCAACTTGTATTAAAGATGCGGCTTCTAATACAGATTTTACGGTACTTGCTTTTGGTTGTATTGTTATTGCTTTCGAGTGTTAAGAAATTATTGACTTAATTGTGTCTATTTGATTTTACTGTTTGACATTTGAAGTTAGTAATAATGAAACGCTGATTGCAGATGAAATATACTGCATTCTCACCAAAAAATGACACATGCTGATAATAATTTGCATAAAATTTACATACATAATTATTCCAAGCTAAAATTGTTGTGATTAACATTCCCGTTAGTCACATCCGTGGTTAGGATAATAGCCGTGGCAGTGTGAGATCAGTATAGTGGTGATAAAACGAAGCCACTGTGGCAGTAGTGAATGGTGAAATAGCCGTAGTTTAATTCCTGTTCAAATAAAGTAACCAAATAGTATAACAACATTTTGGCCAGAAGCTTGACTTTTAGTGTCATGAGTTTGTTGTTCTTGCAATTGAGGTTTATTATAGTCCATTAGAATACCTCCAGAATGGAATGTTACTTTTGTAACGGCGTATGCTGCAGTTGTTTGAATGGTTGGTAAAGAAGCTGCCCCTTCATGACTATTGTAAAATGTATTCTTCCACAACATAGTTTTGTAAATAAAATTATCAGTTAATATAATTCATCACGGATTTGATCAAGTACAGTATTCAATATTTATTTTGGTACATTTAATCCAAAATACTGATGAAATTAAACTGAAATTGTCAAAAAAACGTCGTCTAATTTTGAGTAAAATAACTTTAAAAAAAAAAAGTAAACCCAACTTAATCTGAAAGTTCTTTCAATTGGTAATTCAAATGTGCATTTATTTTTAGCGAGGCTGGATAAAAAAAATAAAACGAAAATTTTTTTGTTATCATTTTACCTTTGCCACATCTGGCTCTGTATCATTTTGAACAGCAGCCTTTGCTGCAACTTCTGGTCACTGATCTGACCTACAACGCAAGACAAAATAGTGTCTGACAATGTAACTCTGTTTGACACAAGTTTTCTCAATACTGGCTTGGGGTTTTGTTATTTATACCTCATCTCATTTTGGTCGTGGGAAATACTGTGCAAGGTGTTAAACTACAGTTTTCGCTCACACAAAAAACAATCAACCACCCTTAAACATACGTGCATAATGAGCTTTTCCGCTGCCGAAAAAAAATGTCATGTTATTCTTTTCGAGGTTGGACTTTAACCCTTATCCTGCCAGCCCATGGGCTTTTACATTGGCTTGACCAAATGAGGGCTAATCTGAGGAACATCGGTTGACAAGTGTTTTGATCGATTGTACTTCTATTTAATTTGTTTATATATTCATTATAACATGGTTAATCATAGATTTGTCAGTCGCGCAGTGATCTGATCTATTTCACAGTGGACTCCCTTCTGAAATAACCATGCGACTGAATAAAATCCTTTTAAACGCTTCAAAAGTGTAATTTTAATAAATTAATGCTTGAAATTTGCCATTTCAGAGCGCATGTAATATTTGCAATTGGGATGAAAATATTTGAATTTTGGCCTTAATTTTCCAAACAATCGTATTTATATCAATTGACCATTTAATGAATTGCTAATTGCATCCCAAATTAGTGAAAAATACGGGCTTGTTTAATTAGCTCTGTTTAATTATCAGGAAAAAATATAGGATAGATTTTTTTTTCAATTTTTTTTTCAGGTTTTATTTATTTTATTTTCTCTCCTGCAGTTACAAAGAAAATCTTGCAATATATAAATCTCCTATTAATCTCTTGATGAAATTTTATATCAGTACCGCTTTTCTGGTTCTGCTTATTTTATGAGATTTAACATTTCCACGATTGTGTTCTTTGTTCAGTAATGTGTCTGAAAGTGTTGACAAGCCATAAATCCAGACAACTCATAAATCCAAGTCATGACTCCAGCTTGTATTTGTGAAAGGAGTTCGCGAGTAGCATAGCAAAGTATATTGTATTACCTCGTTTGGCTTGCTCGAGTGCATCACTCCTGTGCGTACATTGACCATACACAACTACTGTTCACAATTAAACCGGAGATTTGAAAAGCTGAACAATGAAA